ATGAGCTGGTTTAATTACCGGCTCGCCGGGAGGAACCCCTCCCGACTGGGCTGGTGTGTAGACCAGCTCGTCGGAAGGGATTCCTTCCGACGAGCGGGTTTAAGTACCGGCTCGCCGGGAGGAACCCCTCCCGACGAGCTGGTGAACAGAGGGTCTGGCTGGGAGGGGTTCCTCCCAGCCTCAAGCAGTTATTTTTTTTTTTTTTCTTGAAAAAAAAAATTAAAAAATTAAACTCTGGGCTATCCCCTAGGACCCAGGCCTGGGTCCTATGGGATGGCCCCGGTCCTAAACCCATATACATATGGGTTTAGGACCCAGTTTGGCGTGCAGCCCTGCACGCCAACTGCAGGCCAATCTACCCTGCAGCAGATTGGCGTGCAGGGGCGCACGCCAATCTGCGCTTGGCGTGCAGATTGGCGTGCGCCATGGGGGTTGGCGTGCACTTATCAACCCCCACTCGGCCGCTTGTCCGCTCTTCTTTTTGCCTAGCTTGCGGAGCAATGTCGAGAGTTGGGGAGGTGGCGGAAAATAGATAGGAAAGAAAAAAAAGACTTACTTTGGTTGAGTTTCCTGTCCGTAGGTGTTGTTTGTGATCCAATAGGGAGGGAGTGATAGTGACTGGCTGGATAGGGGGCTGCAGGGTGCACTTGCATCAAATATGCAAAATCACCCTTTTCACCCCGCACCATTTTTCACTGTCTAGGCACTGTACATACAATTAAAATAATAAAATATAATATTTAAATAAGTGGAATCACTATAATAGAGAAATTATTACACAGTACACATATATTGTAATATTTCAGGAGAAAATATTTAAAATAATCAAATAAAAATAATAAAAATAACATTAGGGGGTAGCAAATATAGGAAATCCACCATCAGAAACCAGTCACTTTTCCAAAAACATTTTTTTGCATAAATGGGCCCCAAAAGGGGTTAAATGGATAACCAACATGTTTAAAAAAGGGTGAATTTTTTCAAACCAGTCAATTAAATGATGGTGGATTTGGTTATATTTGATACCCCCTATTTAAACCAGAATCTACTAAATAAATTCTGAAACCTAAGTATAACTCAGAATATTACTGCAGATTCTGAATTTAAATGCAAAATAACCTAGGGTAGCTCACCAAGTTTACCCCTTAATTATTACTCCTTCACTTACTTTGTAACCCTTGAGTGATATTGGACCAGTATACACTGTAGACCCCTCCAGTTACATCATACTACATGTTGTAAGGGGGCTACAGGTGTAATTAAGGTCCATGCAGTTTGGGAAAAATATACAGGCAAGTTTTACATCATTGAAACCTTAACTACATGAGCACAGACTACAGTATTAAATTGTTTGGGATGATCTGTGGCCCTTTTTGGCCCAATTGGGACAATTACTCTCTTGGGGATCAACCCATGCATCATGCAGTGCTAAAATAGGATAAAGGAGTTTTACAGTTCCGTCAGAAACCCTGTAAACATGGTTACAATCCTTACATCATCTCCTTGACACCTGTAACCAAGCTCTAGTACAGGTGCTACAGATGATCAAAAGCTCCCATAGGCTTAGTAGGAGAGCTACAGCAACTGAAGAGACTCCTGATTTTGCCTCCAGAGGCCCAGAATGGATATTTAAGAGCCCTTTCTTCCCCCCGAACTTTGATTCCCCATCTTCATCATTACTTACCAGCATAAACCATCACCAACAACCAGTTCCAACCTGCCTTTTGGTCCAGTTCCTGCTGTTTGTAACCTGAATTTCAACTCTTCAAACTAAAACCTGATCCCCAGAACTCTTCAAACAACTCTCAACCAAATTTTTGAGTGCCTCAAGAACAGTTTCCCCCCTCCTGAAGCATCCCTTGGCCTAGACATAAGTATCAGTAAGTATTATCTCTTTGTATCTTCAGTTGTAGGATTCTCTGGGTTTACTCCTTTGTTATAAAGGACCAGAACATCAGTACCACCCCTGTAAATCAGGACCTGATATGAGAGGGCACAGTAAAAAAACCCCTGTAACTCAGGCCCCTCTGTAAATAAAAACTCAACTAGTCTTTATTTTATTTTCTTTTATTACCAAACCTCCCCCCACTTTTCATGTGTTATCCACACATGTACATATCATGTTATACCTTTTCACCGAGTGTAGCTAGAAGAATTTTGGCTCTTGGGATCACTGAGGCTGACAATTTAAATCACAGGAAAGAATTTTAAGGGGAAAATCTTCAAGAAAGGGTTATTACTTACTAGTAATAATCCTGTAGGGTCTTGAGGATCTTCAGAGTACAAGCTGGGCAGTGGAAGCGCTCAGAGAGGTTAATTTTGGGTGCTGAGTTATAAATGGGGAGTTTCTTGAGGCTTTAATAACAGCAGCAATAGTAATAAGTAGGCTAATTACAAGTGTAGGGGACTTGTAAATGGTAAGTAAATTTCGATAAGGTATTTTAAATCTGGGGGATAATTATTTGGGCGTTCAGAAGGCCCTTTAAATACCTGTGGAAGGCCTCAGGGGTTGCTAAGGGAACTTGGTAGGACTTGGTGGCGCTTTCAGGCCCATTTTGGCCCACATCGTGACACAACAAGGGCCAAAACCTTGGGGATGATGTTCTAGAAGCTCCAAGGGACCATGCACGAAAGTATTACAGCCAATCATGTCCCATGGGAACCTGTGGATAGGGGTTACTCTGTTATGTGGTGCTATTTCCTTGGAGATGGGCCACAGAATGTTCCAGAGCAGGTTTCTGAGGCTTTCTACACGTGTTACCCATTGGAATATGGAATATTCTGAGTGACTGTAGTGTTTTCATGAATATTCTAGCTTGTTTTTATTTTGACTACACATTTGGGGGCTTTGTTGTCATGTGCAATTGGGGATTCTGAGGCTTTGTGGCCCCTTTCTTGGATACTGGTAACCCAGGAAGGGGTTATGCATGTATCCAAGGCAGGTATGCATACCTAGCACGCGCGGGGCTGGAGTACTGGGCTCAATTGTAGTCAGATGCGCCTATCAACAGTGCGCAGCATGACCCCACGGCGCGCAGGCTTGGAGACAGTACACACCACACTGCTCTATCTTCTAAACTATACACAACACTCCAAATCCGTGACAGGATTTGGAGTATATGCATTGTGTTATGGGTGATGCATAATTATCACAGTGACAGTTCCCATGATCTAGGGGTACTTGTTAGTTATTCATTGATAATTTACAAGGAGAAGGAGTTTAGAAATAGGGGTACCTTTGGCTGAGGTACCCTAGGTTAAATTGTATGCAGATTCAGAATCTGCAATAATATTTAAGGTTTTCTTTAGACTTTTTAACTTATTTATTTATTTTATGTATTTTTATCTTATTTTACATAAGTAATAGAGTTTCTTTTTACTTATGTAAGATTTTACTTTATACTTGGATTTTTTCTGTAATTTATTTTATTTATGTGCTATGACAGGTTGTCTCTGCCATAGTAGAAAGCTGACAAAATTCCACAACTCATGGGCTTGAATTACTAACAAGATTCATTGGATAGGACATATCTTGTATGAAATGTATTATCTTGTTTATTATTATTTGTGATATTGATTCTGGGATGTGTGTTCTGCGCGAACGTTGGCATAAGTAGAGACTGAGCGGAAACAAGAGAATTCTTTTGGGCAAGGGTCATTTTGAATCTTGACATATATCCCTGCATGTTCTTATTTTTTTGGTGGGAAGTATTTTCTGCATGGATGCTAGAGTGAGTAACGCTTATCATCCATCCAGTTCTCAACATGAGAGTATTTCTGCTTGATACCTGCGTGGAATTTCAAAGGTTCAGTTTTAATTGAACACACAAGGCACGGTTATATCGCTGATCACCAAGAAAAATGAAAATTGCTTTATCTTACCATCATCAACTAATTGGACAAAATTGTTGCAGTAAGGATGGGAATTAAGACACCCCACACCGTCAAACCCCGTGTGATCCAAGTGTGATCTGACTTTGATACCTCTTTTTATTGCAAAGTCAGCAAATTCCAACGTGTCTCCTCTCGCAAGGAAACTTTTGACATAGTCCAACTCAATTAGTCCATGCTGGTAACAAAAGTCAACCGTCCTGAACACAAACTCCTGGATGTTCAAGGCTGCATAATTGCCTTGGTTTGTCTTGAGGATTCTGACCGCCTCTTTAATTGACATTATATCAACCAAAAGATCGTTCATGTTCTTGAGCCATGCCCAATTGATTCCTTCCATAGCTTGATCAAGGTCTTCCCCTTCCAGCATTCCACTTGGCAATTGGTTCAAGCCCAAATTTTTTCCCAAAGGTCTTCCTGAAGAAGGATTTAAAATCTCGAAACCTTGGCGTGCCGTGCCTGGTATATTTAAAGGTACCCTAGAGTTATATTGTTGTTTGAATGAAGCTGTGTCAGCTGTTTGAATTTTACATGACTTGAATGAATGAAACGTACTCTTTCCCCTGATAGATATCGTCTTGTGGTTGAATGTCAGTTTGCGGTTTATCTATCCTATAAAGATCATTCGGTTTCTGCGGCAGAAGGACTAGTATCTTATCTTCCCATTTGAAGACTTGATCATGCTTCAAAGTTGGTATCCGGTTGTAGATGCGGACTAGTTTCACAACGCTTTCTAGAAGATCGGGGATATTTTTCTCTTGGTAGACCTCTTTAGCAGTCTCTGTGAATATCTGTAATTCTCTGCGTAAGTTCCTAAAGTCTTGTTTCATGGTAGCTTGACCTGCAAAGTATGAAGGCGGGTTTGTATGCGTTCTCCAATTCAAAAAGACCAATCAAAGTGAGAAAGCAACATACATTTTTTCCTGTCGAAACGGCCTTCAAGCTTTGACTCTATAGGACAAAAAGATTCAAGGCAGAATCTTTTTTTTCAATGACTTGGGGAAACCCTCTACGTGGTGGATGTGTTATTATGTATGTGAAGCTTACGATTTTGGAGCGCTTGCATGCTTGTGCCATATTGTCGCGGAGTCTTTTCTTCGTCTCGTTCGGCTGGGATATCCGAGATTTGAGGTAAGAGATCCAAACTTTCCCGATTGCTGAAACGGGATTGTCTGCTCGTGGAACTGGTCATTTCTGATATTTAAAGAGTTAGCATCAGACCTATTGAATTCAAAGTGTGCAGGAGAAAGCGGAAAATTGAAGGCTTGGCGTACCTTCTCCAACACGAGCATGCTTCAACTCACACGGCGCAACCTGAGCCATGTGACGAGCTGTGAGTAAACAGCACAGGACGAAAATTTCTACTATTCGGCGTCGTGAATGCATCGTGATCTGAAGTAGCTAAGGAATCGTAAAGTGGACTGGTAGGATGGGATTAGTTTACGAAAACGATACGACACTTTTTGTGACTGAGTGAGGAGAGTGGAGCTGCCTTGTGAGATGTGTGTCACTTGCTCCCGAAGCTTGTGGGGATTTCTGCGTCTCAAGTGTTCTCAACTAGACTCAAGTCCTAACGAACATAGAATCCCCTTGCGTCTTGGATTCGTTTGAACTTTGGCCACAGCTGAAAGTCCTTGCAAGTCTGTGTTTCAAGTTTAATGTGTGCAGATGACCTGGGTCAATGTACAACAAACATATATGTATCTTGAGAAACATTCTGTTTGATGTCCATGCAAGGGTTAAATCATCACTAACCGCCCGCCAAGCGAAGCGTTTCCGGCCGGCAAATGAAGCTCAAAGAATTTGTTAAGCTTCATAATCACCGTGTCCGTGTGACTTACCTGAATATTTCAAAGCGTTTCACAAAAACTTGGATTTGACACCGATCCAAGTTCGCTGAGGAAATGTACTCCACTGACACATCAAAATAAAACGGGAAAATAAAAAGGAGCGAAGAGTGGTACATATATCCGCACAGAAGTAAAATCAAAAGCCGCTGTACTCACTCGCACCCATCGCCTGGTAGCTTGATGAAGTGGGCCTGATGCCAAAGATAAAGACGGAAAAAATAAGGAAAGACACGATCAAGCATTATCCCTACCAGTGGAAGACTGACCGGATCTGTCTCGTCGACGGGACCTTGGAAAGGTGGTTGATTGGGTTGATGGAACAAGTTGTAAAGTGTCTTATACACAGTTTTCACGAAGAGCTGATTCAATCTTGTCTACCGATTTCTTCATTGCGGCTATGTCGCTCTCGATTTCATCAAGCTTCATATCATATTTCTTGTCAAATGTCTTTGATTTCTTGTCGATCATCTCTGGAGGCCGTCACATCTCTGGGGATGATCAACAACAACTGATCAACCTGAGGGGCACTGCCGTGGAACTGACTCTTTGTGTTACTTGGCCAAGAGGACTCAATTGATAAACGCATGATTTATGTGGTGCCAATCACAGCTGTTTAAACACTGAGATGGTGCCGGATTTTTACTGGCCCAAAATAGTGCACAATGTTCAGCGCAATGGAAAGAAAAAAAAATGGGGATAACTTGTGTGAAAAGAAGTGAAAACAGTTCAAGTTTCAATAAGGGTTTCCATGATCCAATTTATTCAGTTCAATTTGGTTGATCAAGAATCCCAGTATCCAACTCAAGCTGAGACCATCATCCAAGGGAATTTCTTGGCACATCCATAGCTTCTTGACCAATATATTGTAGACATAGCTTGGGTCAACAATCCCATATTGAGTCAAGAGTAAAGTTTGGTATCCTATATATCATCACATTCCATGTGTGATCAGGTTATTTTTCTGATGTAACAAAAAACCTGAAGAAAACTTTAATTGCACTCACCATTGGCCAACTTCGTAGCAATCTGACAGATCTGCTTCGTGGTTTCTGTAGCTGAGCCCGTGTTGATCCATTCTTGCCATATGAACTCAGGAGAGCGGATGAAGGATGTTATTGGAGTGATTGGGATAACCTTAGATCAAGGGACCAAGAATTAATTAAGCATTTGAGAGAGAAGTTCTTGATTAATTGAAAGTGAAGGATCTGGAGAAACTTACTTGTATCATGTGGATAGCATCTTTTTCGTTCTATTTACCGCATTAAAATTCATTAAACTGGATGATCCGTATGCATCCCTATATGATCTCCAGAAGCAGATACTTACGGAAAAGAAAGTGGTGTAATCCGCCTTGTTTTCAAACAATATTCCAGGCACGCGATTTCCTTTGAAGCAGGCTGGCGCATCAGTGTTCGACTCCTTCATGTAATAGTAGTGGTTCACACTCCTTTTGAACAGGCTAAGCTGCAAGTCGGCCAAGGCACCCATCCTAGTATTTTGAGTGACCTCTGCCCAAACCTTTACGCTATACAAAAAGCTGAAGTAGTAAAATTAGATTCTTGGTACTATTTGACTTGACTCGATTACAGCTGAGAAAAAAAAACCTCACTTTGCATCTTCACTGCAGCTTTCTTGATTCTTACCATCGATACTGGTGTCCAGTCCAGTCGCAAGACTGTGGCCCAAGAACCAATCGAAGTTTCGGAACAAGGGGAAAAAGGAGTCCGATTCATCCGAGCTGTTCACATCACGAATAAGATCATGGATGTAGTCCCTAACAGAGTATAGGTAAGAATGATCGTGATATACGAGTACTGCTGCTGCATGAATGAAATAAGCATAATGGAAATGGTGATCTGTTGTGTATGAGCGAAGGGATGTAAAAGATATCAGAGTGGGTTGGGTTGTATTAACTCGCGAGCACGTCAAGTGGAACCAATCAAACCATTATAAACCCCGTTTCCAAAATCGTCATTTCTGTTTCCAGTGCGCAATATGCTCGAGCTAATGATGCCTTTCCAAGTGTTTTCATATACCAACGGGGCCGCTTTGGAACGATTGTGGCGGAATTTATCGAAGCTTTTCTTCGTCTTTTCGACAAACTTGGTTGCCAGGTTTTGGTCCTGCAGAACGCATGAAGCCGTAAGACATTGGAGAGCTTGTTTTGCAAGCTTCTTTCCAGAAAAGTCTATCCCAGGAGAAAAATCGCGGAAAATTCAGTAGCCACGCCTTCACAATAGACCCTTAAATAATCAGCGTAACTTACAGTAACTGTCTAAATTGGATTCCGAATCAAAGTCGGTATCCAATTCTTTGACCATGACTTGTCTCAAGAGGTCCACTTTCAAGGGGTCGTATAGTGGGGCACCGTTTGGTGAGCGATAAGGTGTGATACCAAAATTTCTGAGATCGGCAACGTTTTCCTTGAATAACCATCTATCTCCGCGACAGAGGCGCATGACTCCCGTAACCCGTGATTGAATCCTGATCTCCGGCTTCACAACAATTATTGGATCCGATAGGGCTTCAATATGATGTGGCAAGGCAAACATCAAAGGTTGCGCTGAGTTCGACCTAGGGCCGTTGGTGACTACGACCAACAAAGAGGCATTAGTAACGTTTGAAGGTAGACCAAAACTACCGGAGCGCCATTGAGAGGAGACTTGTAGACTTACTCCAATCGAACGAATACTGCCCGGTGCCCATGGGCCCAGATCTCAGGGTGGCAGCTTGAGTCCATACCCCAATGCCGTTATCATAAACGAATTCTTCGCCGAGGCGGTGCGAGTTTTCTTCCAATTCTCGTCCGTAATAATCACTCATTTTGACAAGTTGTATAATACCAGACCAAGTCCCAGGATGACCGACATCCGTGGACGTAATTTTCTGTAGGTCCAGGTGCGATGAGCAGCTCACAGTCTGGTCGCCGAGTGAATAGACTAACCAAGTTGAGCCATCGTTGTAACGAAGCCGGTGCTTGCGGAATCCATAGAGGTGATGTTCTTCACCGGGATTGACACATTCCAGGGAAAGGATGACGTGAGTGGAACCCAACCTTGGACTGAGGCCGGTATATAAAGCCGTCACAAAGGCAGACCCTCGGGAGATGGGAAAAGAGATGCTGGACTTGGGAGGCCCTTTAGTTGTTGATGAGAGCTCAAACTGGACAGTCAACTCAGACCAATCGGACGTTAAAGGGGCGACCTTCGACTGGCCACTGAACTCTTTAGCACCCAGACAAACCGAGACCGCCAGGGGATTGTAATAGTACCGGGCGGAAGAATCAGGATCTGGGCCGACGGGTGGTCCAAAGACTCTTTGGGCTGCCGAGGAATGAAGGATGCCGAGTCCCACCAAAGACTCGGTCCGCTCGCGTCCTCGGCAAGAGAGAACGGAGCTGCCGTCAAGAAAGGCCAGTGCATAGGGCAAAGGATAGATGGGATCTGTCCCGCTGGGTGTCAACATGAGTTGAGTGTACCATTTATTGGTCCCGATAGGACGGTGCCGAGAGCCATCAGAGATGTGTAATGGTGATTGCGGGTGAGCACAGCCAGGGCCGAACAGGGAGAGTGGTGGTACAGGATGCTTCCGCTGACTTTCGACCGGTGCGAACAAGTCCCCGTCAACCTGTGGGGTCTGGCCGAAAGACATTCGTCCTGATGAGATCAAGTCTGGCAGATTCTGATCGTTCCTGATCCTACAATATGACAATGGTTCTCATCAAGAAATGCTCGGACCAGCACTTTCAAGGGACCTCAAAGTCCCAGGTCCTTGGCCGGACTATACGATCCGGCGGATAACCGCCGGACTGGCTTGTGCACACACATTTAGCCGATCAACGTCTTTTGGTTGTACTCCTGCCTACCAGAGAAAACTACTGGACACATACAGGGGCATCATAATTTACAAAGCAACCCCTGCACATGCCTCTCAAACATCTCTTTATAGTATACTCCTGGAAAAAAGATCGGATTTTGGGTTGTTTAAAACTCCCACATTACTGCCAGCTTCCAGGTGGTGGCTTTTGATCAGAAAAGCGAGTTTGATGATGTGTCCAATGTGTCCAAGGAAATAAAACATGACCCCCATTTCCACACCCCAGCTGTATAGGTCGAAGGCTCAATTTTTACCACCATAATAACTGCAAAGTAAAAAAAAATTTTTTGGAGGACGTGATTATAATTTTTTGAAGAACAGCTTTTTTTTTTGAAAAGAGCTGAAATATCAACATACTTTGAAAATGAGAGCCAAAGTACAGAAAAAATGGTGGATTGATTTCCATGGATGTTTGGTTTGAAGACTGCCCAGAGTTATCAGAACCTCCTTATAACCTCAACAAGCTAAAAAGATGCTCACAGTACAAATGAAAATTGGGATACATATATCCTTCACACACATCTTCCCAAATGTTCATCACTGGAAAATTGATATTAATCAGTGATTCCTTTAATTTTCCTAATCAATTCAGTACTTCAAGCCCAACTAACATGGACTTGCATGTATGGTATGGCCTATTTTTCGCAATAATTAACCTAGAGGATTTTTATTTATTTTTTTTTTCCCATACAATCAAGTCACAACTCATGTGCTTGGGATTACCTGAAACATGAGGAGCTATGTACAGGGGATTTTGCAATGAGATGTGGTCTGACTCTGAGTGAGATGTGTGTCATTTAAACTTTAAAAAAAAAAGTTGACTTGTCCGCATCCCGCTGGCCGGCCTCGATCGCTGTGACTGTCACGCAGATCAGCCCAGACCCTCAACCACTACCGACTTGCTCCAGCTCTTGTTTTAAGGTTCTTCAACCGGTGAGTGTTCATTCCACGTAGTAGCTAAGAACCTCCCCAAGTAAACCAACTGATTCAGTTATTTCTGGTTTCATGACCATGTGTATGCTACTTATAGTGTCTCCTTGACTTGAAAAAAAAACATCAAACCAATAACGATATTGTACAATAAGGATGGCCGGTTGGAAGTTAACACAAGCCTTGAAGGATAAGATCAGCCATTTTGCTAGCTTCCCCCAAGTTAAGCTCTTTCTATGCTCCGTTTATCATCGTTCAAAGGAAGAAGAAAAACAAACTGGAATCCTGTCAATTCGTGTTCTTTAAATGTTAATTGAAAAGTACTTCTTTCCTTTTCCTTATCAAGACTGGGGTCTCTTTGCGACAAATGGTAATGTTTGGTATGTGGATTCTGTAACAGAAGGAAGAGAAGAATCAAAAAACCTTTGGAATGGTCATGTGAAATTAATCATACTTGTATTATATTTTCTCCATGATCCCGGTTTTCGTATCAGGCCAGAACCCGTCGGCAGGCACGTTAATGAGGGCCAGTGAGTTTCTGCATGGTAAGTGAGAACGAGATGGTTACATGGCATGCTCCCTTCTTTCTTCAAAGCATCCCGATATCTTGACTGATCGCGGTTGCTTTCTCCTTGGGGTTGCACATATATTTACATGTGTATATGTTGGTGATCCAGAGGAACTGCCGATCAGACTGGCTCATCGGGTTAAAGAACTCAACGAGCTACCCAATCGTCTCAATGAAATGCCGAGTATCTTGAAAGTCCGGGATTGGTATGCACAATCCTTTGAGGTCAGTCTACAAACTCCTTTACAATTGATCCGAGGACTATATTGGACATGCAAAAAACAAATTCCACTTTCCCTCTTATGCTTTCTTCATATACCCCCATCTTGGGCTGATTTTTGTTTGGGTACATTTTGCCATGTGTGTGGGAGGTTTAGGAACTAGTGAATTTTCCTAGACCAGAATTACCTCCAGAGATAATTGCTCACTTCGAAAAAGCCTTTACAAAAGGAGCTCCACTTCCAGCGTTGACCCCAAATCCAAGTTTACCCCCACACATGCAACGTCCCTTACTTGATACCACAGGCAAACAGCGTCTGGGCTTGAGTCAAAGGTGGGTACCCCCAAGATTTATTCAGAACAAGTTTTCTTTTAACAAACACGGGGTATTTCTTAATAGATATTACGTCGATTTGGGAGATGTGGTCTGGCCTCCCGAAGTACACGATTACAACGAAAGGTTTACTCAAACCCTATCAGTCATCAAACGACGACACGACCCGGTTGTCACAACGGTAGCGCAAGGGATTCTCGAATACAAGGACTTCCTAGCGGGGCCGGGCCGGAGTGTGGGCACGAAGGCCTCCGCAAGCCCCAGCGTGATCGACCGCTCCGTCCAGACCTTCCTCGATCGGTTCTACATGTCCAGGATCGGCATTCGGGTCCTCATCGGCCAGCATATCGCCTTGAATAAACTCGAACCCCATCCAGATTACGTCGGCGTCATTTGCACAAATACTAACGTCTATCAGATCTGTCGCGAAGCTATCGATAATGCTCTGTTCATTTGTGAGGAACATTATGGCCTGTTTAAAGGTCCCCCCGTTCAATTGGTCTGTCCTAAAGACCTGGCCTTCATGTACGTTCCGAGTCATTTGGTAAGCACCCTTTTCTCTCTTTTTACACATCAGAAGTGCCAAAAGCAATACACAACAGTTGACTTGGTTTATTTTTTTTTGATCTGTCCGCAATTGTTTTTTGGGGGTCAGAACCACATGGTTTTTGAAGTTCTGAAGAATTCGTTAAGAGCGGTAGTAGAAACGCACGGAGTCGATGCGGATGAATTCCCGCCGATCAAGGTGATTGTCGCGCAAGGAGCGGAAGACATAACGATCAAGATATCCGATGAGGGGGGCGGGATCCCACGGAGTGCGGTGGGTCTGGTGTGGACCTACATGTATACGACCGCTCAGGCTCAACGACTTGACCAAGACTTCGAAGGAACTGATTTTAAAGCTCCTATGGCTGGCTTTGGTATCACTACCTTTCTCCGATCCTTGCCCTCTCTCGTTTTTCACCCCTCTGACCACCCGATTTGACTCAAAGTTCGGCTTTTTTCGTTTGTTTCCTTTTGCTGTAATAGGTTATGGGTTGTCAATCGCTCGACTCTATGCTCAATATTTTGGTGGAAACCTCAAGTTGATATCCATGGAGGGATATGGGACTGAGTAAGTCTTTATTTCTTCATTCCTTTGGAATCAATTACTTCGTTGACTGATTGGCTTGCGGGCCGGCTCGTCCTTGGCCATCTGATTATTTTCCATTGTAGCGTTTATTTACATCTTTCTCGATTGTCAACTACCACTGAACCCTTACAATAACTTCTCTTCCTTTTTGCAGAGTTTTTCTTCTTCTTTGTTTCATTGGGAGAATTCACACTTTCCTCCATCCCTATGATCCAGTTTCGGGCTCTGTGTTGTCCTTTTTTTTTAAAAAAAAAAAAGCAGAAAAGAAATAAGTAGCTCATCTCTTCCGAAAATATGTAGACAAAAAAAAATATGCACAGTGTTGTATTGATGAATTTCCTTCTTCCTTTCACTAGAAGTTCTTGTTTCCATTTTGATTCGTTTTTTAACCTGATCTTATGTACTGTTTATTCAGACAATTGTAACACGTGTTTATGATAGCTTCTCCTTTTTTCTCCAAATTCAGTCAGTAATTGTACTAGGTTCTATTCTATCTGAGACTGAACCTCCTGGTGCTGTCTGACGACCGCAAGGCTGGGCCCCCAATAGTGTTGTACTATTGCAACTAGCTGGATATGAGCCCGCTGGGTATACAGCCCCGTTTGGCGCTGTTATATTTGTGGTGACAAATACCGCAAACAATTCACCTCTCATTGAGGCAAATCACCTGGCTACGGGTTGGTTGCACGACCCCCCCGGGACGACACAACCTCAGCGCGGTCGGATAAATTCATCCCACCTTGAGTATGAGGAAATCCCCTTGGTGACTCGTCGCCAGGTCCAATTAACTTTGAGAAGGAACGGTTTTGAAGATACATACGCCGCCGAATTGGCTCCATAAAATCTGCGATGTCGTCGGCACTACGTATACCGCGACATGACCGGAAGAGCCGTAGACGTTAACGCGGTAGATTATGCTGCGATGCGAAGCCGATGTCGATGTGGTCTTGTATTTTGGAATGGAGCTTGCCCCGCACTGTCGCCCATCAAAGCTCTCGGTCTTTTATTCTGCCCAAATCAAACGATTTAGCTCAAGACTCTCTCTGTTGACCAAATTCTGAGTTAAATCTAATCATGTCTCTCGAGAGAACTCCCTCACTGTTGCTTTGTTTGGGTCAAGCGCAACCGCCCAAGTCGCAAAATCTGGCATAAGATTGCTACAGATTCTAGGTCTAGAGCGGTGTTCTAAACTCTTGGGGGGGGGGGCGAATGATGGGTTGCTGGTTGAATCCAGAGAATAGAGTCTTTTCCCCTGCCCCGCAAAGAACCCTATCTCAAAGTCCTCAAGGAGAAATCCGTATCACTTTATGCTCTCAACAAGGCCTGATGTATCCGAAAATGTCAGTCTTCCTTCAGGTTTGTTGAAACTGTGTGGCCTTAAACTCAGAATGGGTCTAGCCAGACCAGATTGTGTCAATTGTAACTCTCTCTTATCTGCCCCTAACCAGTACTGTAGCTTAACTTGGGGGCTTGTTTGAAGTTGAATGATTGCTGCGCTGGGACTGTTTCTGATGACTGCAAATAAGCCCTCATGTTAACAGCCAATCTGATGTCTAGTTCATACAGATTTGCAAAACATGCCAACAGCAAAAAAAATGCTGCTTGTATTCCCCTCTTCAAGCCCTACTCTGGTTGGTCTGCTTTCGACTTCCTGTTCGTATAAAAGGACCGACGAAAAAATGTTTGGTCGGCTCTGTCACACTCGCATCGAACCCTGATCTCAAAAAAAATTCACTTTGCTCGACTTACTGGTATCCAGTAGGCTCTATAATTCCACATCAATCACAATGCTATTTCACTTGTTTATTATCATGGTTGGTTGTTGCTGTGATCATTCATGTCATATTCTTAAAGGAATCGAACTAAATAGACATTCATGTGGATAGCTTGCTGCAGGTAGATACTCCGCAATGAAATTGTCTGAGAGCTCGCCACAGTTATCAGTCCCGTTCAAAGAGATGGACAGTCGCTTGGAAAGCCGGTTAGACCACCAGGCAGTGAGTTATATTTAACCAAACCTGCTCGAATGTTTGATACTTATCAAGCTGGACCCACATATCTGTTTGCATGTATCTAGGGAAAAAGCGCTGAGTCCATGGGGATCGTAGTTTCTGATAGGCTGGTTAAAAGGTCTTTGGGCGGTGAGTACTTTGCAAAGCTTCAGCTGAACTCAATGGAGAGTGTTTTTCTGATGATCAAGTTGATTCCAGAGAGTTCGGTAGCGGATAGATGTGGAATTTGCAACGAGGCCCTGCCGCCACTCAAGAAACCGATGCCCGATACCCACTGCAAGGACCGATTCCATGAAGACTGCCTCATACTATATATCAAAGATGAAAAAGGCTGCCCAAAGTGCAAGCGAGTACAGGGATTTCCAAAAAGACATCCAAAAGATGTAGATAGGGGATGTTGGCCATCGGCAGTAGTTTGCGCGCTTGTAACATGTACCTGTGCTGCAGCTTTTGTCTTTGAAGCAGGTTACTACTTTGCAAAAGATCCCAGCTAGGGAGTTGTTGCTGTTTTTAGCAGGTCTAGCCCTCTCCTAAAGAAGAAGATACATCTGCCATATCACCACTTTTTCTTTTGAGATACTCATATAGTACTGTAGCCATGGTATGCTTCAGTCAAAATTCTTGGCCATCTCTACAGTCTTGCCAGATCTCACTCTGCTGTGAAATGAATCATCTTGTCATCTGTTTCCTATACTTCACAACCTATGTCAGCAGTGCCTTTGATTTTGGTTCATCAAAAATCCAAATATTTATAGGGGCTTGGTTGAACATTAACAACTCCCAAAAAGTGGAGAGCCAACTCCCAAGCCCCGGATTCCCCAAAAAATAATAGTTGAACAAACGGTGGGCCGCTACACTAACCGTAGCGGTTAGTGTAGCGTAACGCAGCGGAACTCCAGTTAGCGTCAAGCGTAGCGTAGTGGAATTCCGCCACAACACCGCTAACGCTCCGCGTGTGGGCCGCAAAAACTACGCTGCGCTACAGCGCATTTGAGCGGTTTTTAGCCGCTTTTACCGCTAAAAGTGCTGTGGCGCAGCGTAGCGTAGCAAAAATGTGCTACAAAAGCGCTAACACTACAAAATTTTGGCACAAAAAAGCGCCGCTACGCTTTTGGGGCCAAAAGCGTAGCGTAGCGGCCCACCGCTAGTTGAACCCCCAAAACCTTTGACTGGTTTGGGAGTTGACTCCCTAAGAAAGATAATAATAAAAAATTAAAAACCCCGGTCAGTTTGGGAGTTGGCCTCCCAAACCAACCAGGGTTTGGGGGTCAATGACCCAAAAGATCCAGGGCAGTGGCCGGGAGGATTCCTCCCGGCCGCTGAGGTACACTCTCAACAGCCGGGAGTTAAACCCTTGGCCATGAGAGTGTACACCTTGATGGCCAAGAGGAATCCTCTTGGCCATCAAGGGTATACACTCTCAATGGCCAATGGAAACTGCCTTGGCTGTTGAGGTGTACACACCTCAGCGACCAAGACAATTCCTCTTGGCCGTTGCGGGTATACACTCTCACCGGCCAAGGGGAACCACCTTGGCCGTTGAGGTTTACACTCAGAGAAACTCAGCTGCTGAGTGCACACTTCTACATCCGAGAGCTGCCTCCCTTGACGGCCAAAGTGGTTTCCCTTGGCCGGTGAGAGTGTAAACCCTCAACGGCCGAGAGGAACTGTCTTGGTCTCTGGGGTGTGTACACCTCAACGGCCAAGAAGGTTTCCATTGGCCGTTGAGAGTGTGTACCCTCAAAGGCAACTGCCGAGGCAGTTTACATTGGCCGTTGAGAGTGTATACCCTTGATGGCCGAGAGGATTCCTTTCGGCCATCAAGGTGTACACTCTCCCGGCCAAGGGTTCAACTCCCGGCCTTTGAGAGTGTACCTCAGTGGCTGGGAGGAATTTTACCGGCCGCTGGCCTGGGTCTTTTGGGTCATCAAAACCCAAACCCTGGTCGGTTTGGGAGGCCAACTCCCAAACCAACCGGGGAATTTCATTTTATTTTATTATTTTCCTTAGGGAGTCAACTCCCAAGCCAATCAAAGGTTTTGGGGGTTTGACTTCCATTTTTTGGGGAATCCGGCGCTTGGGAGTTGGCTCTCCACTTTTTGGGAGTTGTTTAACCAAGCCCCTATCTATAAGATTCTGTCTATAGATAAGATCAATTTGCAAAAATATCCCCCCCCCCCCTTAGATTATTTTTGGTTCACTCTTGGAGTATTTTCACTGCAAATTTTATGTATGCAACACAGCAGAACCTTCTACTACAATAAAGATCCCTCCCCCAACATACAGCTAACACAGGAAAGCTTGCAGTTTCGCGAGCTAGAAAATTACAATCCAAATTTTTTACGACCTCATGCAGGTGCCTGTATACATTCCAAATCTTCCTATTCTTCGCAACCATTCCCTATATTTCTCTCTCTACTATATCCCATACCATGGCCCCCAATCCCGGCCCCATGTATTCAACTCAAATATTTGCAGAAACCTTTGTGTGAGGATACCTTGCAGTTGTAACCAAGTTTACCCTGTAATGCACTGCATATTTACTGCTTCCATTCACCTGAGATTTTTTTTTTGAAGTGTTTAACATTTCAGTTTATCACACATACACTCTCTTCATTTCCATTTTGAAGTATAATACCATTCTATATTTACAAGTAACTTTGTAAGCATTTGACAAAGTATGCTATTTCAGTCCCTGGACTGGAGGCTATTGGTCCCCTTGAAATACTCTTCCAGGCAGAAATTGGAATTCTTACTTGCAAAGAAATGTATCACAATTTTAGTCAGGTATAGGTGGGGTGTGCAAGTCTAAAAAATCACACTTTTGTGGTCATACAGACATGATATCAAGCCTCATATATATTCTTTCAAACATTTAGACCCCATTTGGATACATAAGTATGTTATAAGTTTCAAAGTTGAATGCTAAATCACATTTTTATATCATATCAATATATATATGTAGATATAGCACAATCCCATGCTAAACTCTAAAATTTAAATATTATGCCATATTGTGACATGGGGCCTTACACTTCTGATACCATTTTAGCTCCAAACCTCAGGCAAAGTGGATGACTTCCCATCAACATCTGGGGGTCTCCCAGTTTTGATTTAGAGCCGCAAAAGCTAGATTTGCCTGCAAAAATCTAGACTTTTTGGGTCTAAATCAAAAACTGTGAGGGTCCCAGATCCAACAGAAGTCCTCCAGTAAGGTCCCTTTTTTGGTTTTGATGTGAGGCAGTCTTTTGTGTTGGATAAAGCTAATTTATGCCTATGGGGTGTTTTGCAAGTTGGAACACAAGTGCAAAGAAGGTGTATTATCTCCCTCACCTCCAGTGCCAATTTCCCTTGGGGCAAAACTTGAAGTGCTTTAATTGGTGTGTAGTATTGTTTTAGAGGGTTAGAAAAAACAACTCCCAAATATTATCAGTTGACAGTGTGGTGTGGTGTGCCTGTAATTGTATTGTAAGTGTAAAACCAACAAACAGTTTAGAATTTTAAGCATATTAGTAGTAGTAGTCATTCTATAAGCTGTAGTATATGAGCAATTATTAACCAATACTATTAACCTTGGAGCTCTAGTTTCTATGAAATTGCCTTATCAAGAAATCGTTGAAGGAAGAGATCATTAAAAAGTTCCTTGCAGCTCTTATACTTTGTGCTAAAAAGTTCCTTGCAGCTCTTATACTTTGTGCTCAGAGCCTCAGCACTACATTTTCCATTATCAAACTCAAGTTGTAACAGATTGATTAGTAGATTGATATGTGATCTAGGTCTGATAGAGATTACTTTATTAAGAGGGTCAGAAGGATGGATTTTCACTTTTAAGGATGAGAAGAAAAGAGACAACATTCCAACAGGACCTGTAATACAGCACTTGAATTTCTCTGCAAGGCCCCCCCCCCCGGATTATTTATTGAGGATCAGAAACCCAACCTGGCAGTGGAGGATCCATCATCTACCTTGATTTGTTTGTCGTGTGATGTAAAAAAAAAGCCGGGAGAGAAAAGAAGAAGCTGGCTTGTTACTGTGGCATCAAACCACCCCCCAGATGACCATTCAACACCATCCCACCAAACAAGCCCCACCACCATATAAAGTGCACCATACAAAACCAAAACATGAGCCAATAGATAGATAGATTACACATACATTCACACACATATATATATATAGATGTAAGATACAAACAAGTATATATGATATATATGTTTCAACACAGGAAAGAGACAAAAGGGATGCATATGATTTTGTCAAGAAGCGAGAGGACAGAGAGAGAGAGAGAGAGCCGAGGCCGAGCCGCGCCACTGAAACCACGTCCACCCACGCGTTTTGGATTATATAAGTATAAGTATAAGTGTGTGTGTGTGTGTAATCAAGATAGAAGAAGACCGACAAGCCACAAGACAAGAAAGGACAAGACAAGACAAGAAAGCACAAGACAAGACAAGACAAGACAAGAAAGGACAGGGAAGACTACATCAAGAAGAAGAAGCACAAGAAACGGGAGAGAAGAGCATGGGACGGATACAAGGATGGATAGCGCTAGCCGACCATTTGAGAGTACATGATAAAGAGAGAGAGATAAATAAGAGAGGAAGGAGGAAAAGCGAGATGGAGGTCAGCGGATCTGAGCGAACAAGTTCAAGAAGTTACCGGGGGGATGGTGGATTCCGGGGTTGAAGATAGGCGAGGGGGAGAGCGAGGGGTTAGCGTTGGCTGCTCCGAAATGGTTGACGATCGGCGAGCCCCGGCCAGCCAGAAGGGTGTTGTTGTTCCCGTTACTCTCGAAGCCCATCGTCGACGAGCCAGAAGTCGTGCCCGTCGTCGTCGTCGTCGTCGAGGGAGAGGCAGAGGAGGAGGAGCTCTTTTTCTTCGGGAACGCTCGCCAGAATCGCAGGGTCTCGTCTCCCGCTCCTGTCACAATGGTTTCCCCATCTGGCGACATCGCTAGATACAACACTACATCATCATCAAGCAAACAAGAAAGAAAGAATAAGTAAGTCAAACTCGCTTGAAAAAAGAGAAGAGAAAAGAGACGGACCTCGATAGGTATGTCCACTCAACGTAGCAATCTGTTGCATGCTAGGATACTTCCATAAACAGACCTGATTCTGGATAGGACCTGGAGAGAAGCCATGAGTGGAGACCAATTCGTTGGAGTTTTTGGACCATTTCAAGGAGCAGACTTGGGAGCCGGTGTCGATTTCGTTCAACAGGGTTCCATTGATAGTATTCCAGAAGCGGATCCTCTTATCGGCGGAGCCACCACCCGAGGCGAGCAGTCCGTTTTGATGGGGACTCCAAGCGAGCGCCTTGATGGCTGCGGTGTGTTCGTTGAAGCGGAACAGAGGGAGCGCGTTAGACGCTTTGGACTCCCAGATCAGCAGTCGATTGTCGTTCCCACCCGAGGCGAGTTGGTTGGTGTTGACGTTCCATTTGAGGCCGCAGACCTCCTGCTTATGGACGTTGATGCGGGAGAGCCAATGGTCGGCGGCGCGGACGTCACGATGGACGATCGAGCGGTCGCGGGAGCCGGTGGAGAGGATGTACTCGTTCCAGTCCATGCATCCGATCCGACTCTCGTGCCCCTCCATCGTCCGGATTCGTTTCCCCACCTGGGTGTCCCAGATATGGGTCTTGCCCGAATCTGTGCCGATGGCCAGGATGTTCCCCTTGCCGATCCAGGAGAGCGAGGTGGTGTGGTCGGAGGAGCCCGGGACGGCAACGTCGACCAGTCGGGTCACCGCACTCGTTGCTGCCGACCAGAGATAGACTTGCGAGCCCAAGCCGACGGCCAAGACGTTGGTGGAGCTCCAGTCGACCAGGTTGAGGTAATAGTCGTCGGCAAGGTCGGGGGCATCGAGCACCTTGAAGGGCACCTTGCTCAACGCTCTGGTCGGCTTGCGGGGCGAGAGCAACAAGCGTTGGCTCTCCTGCTTGATCGGCGTGGTGCTGTATCGTGGATGAGTGGGCGAATCGAGAACGTTGGCGCTCTCCTTCCGACTCGGCGAGGAATAGTTGAACAGCTTCGTCGCCGTCGACCGGCGTGGGGTCCCTGGGGAGGAGTTTGGGACTGTCGAGGCTTGTCTGGAATGGGTGGGCGATGAATGGTGGATGAAATGGGGCATCTCCGATGGGTCACTGCCAAAGGTCTCCGCCTTCAATAGGTTCGTAAATGTCCGACGAGCTTCATCTGAAAACACACACACGCACAAACTATGATCAATCTCTCTCTCTCTCTCTCTTTCTGTGTCTCTCTGTTGAAGATGAAGTGTTTACCTTTCTCTAAATCGGTTACTGCGGCTACGACGGTCTTCTTGGATCCATTGCCGGCTCTGGTAGGGGTAGACGGGCCATCGGGCATCAATTGAAAGCTAGTCGAGAGGTCGATTCCATCACCGCGGGTGGGAATAAAGCTTGAAAGGGTCAAAAAGGAAGGTCAGTTGTTCTGTCGGTCTGCTCTGATGAACGATAAGAAGAGAGTTCCATACCGGTCGCCGTAGTGTCGTTTCTTGCTAGGACTAGATGGGCTTCGATTAGCAGGCCGAGGGCGAGTGGGTTTGATGATTGATGAGAGTCGGGAGGGGTTGAAGGGGTCGTCTAGCAGATGGAGGGGAGATTCTAAGGTCGAGCTGTGTTGGCGTTGGCGGGTTTTTGAGGTATTAGTAGTGGTGGTGGTGGTAGTGGTGGTGGTAGTGGCTGCTCGTTGGTGGGATGGACCGGCAATCGGGTTATCGATGAGACTCATGATGAGATGATGGTTTTATTCAAGAGAGGGATGGAATGTGTGTGTGTGGCAAGAAAGTGGAGGAGGAGGGGGTGAGGGTGTTTTTGTAGGGTGGTGGTGGTTGGTTGTTGCGACGATCGGAGAGTTGAGTTGGGTGGGGGATGCTGGGAAGCTGGTTCGGTCGAAAAGGTAGAGTGTTGGCTGACTCAGACCAGAAGGCTGTGAAAAAACGAACTGGCTGACTGAAACTCAAACTGAGTGTATGCGGACTGTCAGATCGACTGCCTGTCACAGGTTCACTCGACGAAAAAACTGCCAACTCCGAAACAAAACAAACCAGTGACATCCCACAAAACACACACACACACATGTCACAGACATACACACTCAACCCCACTCCAACAACACTTGAATACACAGCACTCACACAAAACAACCAACAACAACCAAAACAAAATGGAAACGACTAGAAGACCCATCAACCTCGACATCAGCGCACTCTCACCAACAGAATACCAAGCCTACCAACCATTCATCACCCAATTCAACCACTTCACCACAAACACACACGGAAAACTCAGATTCGCTCAAGCGGCCGAATTCCTAAGGAGATACTACAGATTCCAAACTGAGAGAGAGGATGAGGTCAGTCAACCCAACCAACCATCTCGAATCAACAGCAAAAGTAACTGACTTTGGAAATATGTGTAGATAAGAAGCTTCTTCCCCCAGGAGATCCAACTCGGCCAGATCGACTTGGGATCCATCCTAGCCATCCTCAGATTACTCTCCCATCTACACCACCAACCAACAACACTCAAACTCACTCAAGATCTGGTCTTCATTCAAACTCAACCCATACCATCATCCTCATCATCTAATCCATTCCGTCGTTCGATCCAGAACTCAGCAGATCAAAGCACCACCTCTCCTCCCTACTGCTTCCCTCAATCGCTATCCGCAAACGATCTCCCTACCACTTCTTCTTCTTCAAGACTACCATCATCCTCAAGCAATCCATTCAAACAACGCTCACTCTCAGCTGCTACCTCCAATAATCAACAACAACAACAACAACAATCAAACCTCTTGCGACCAGCTTCACCCGAATCCCAGCACCATCATCATCACCTTCCCTCGCCCAAGATACCCCCACGTCCGACTAGATTATCTAAGCTGAATACCACCAATCTCTCCACCCCTGCTTCTTCTGACGAAAATCGGATTCACAAGTCGGCCTCTTCGCTCATCCGATCATCATCCGACATCAAACCGCCCCCGAAACATTACTCCCAACGCTCCAAAACACTCGATCCTTCGCTCGATCACTTCGATCCTTTCGACCCTCCTCCTCCTCCTCCTCACACTTATCCTTCTTCTTCTAAAAATCCCACAACTACTCCTTCGTCTGAAGTCCATCTGCTTCATTTATCGCCTTCTAAACTCAGTCGACCTCGGTTCATCGAACACCAACATGCCCAAAATCGTAAGCCTTTTCATATATCTGCTGATCGAGAAATACTATGTGCCAAACAAGAAAACTGATTGTTGGGATGGATAGTCCAAAACGGATCGCCTATTCCCTCAGACTCTAAGCCCATGATCCCCCCTCCTCCTCCACCCCCGATACCCACGAAGCCGATCCGGGCGCAAAAGACCGAAGGACCTCGAGCAACCAAGCCCGAGATCGAAGCCCGTCCGGAGAAACCTCATACCCAACTTAGCACCACCACTCTCCATCGCGCTCAAACGTTTAATGACCATCATCAGAGTAGGAGGAACAGGAAAGTCCCTGCGCTTCCATCGGCTGATCAGGAGCAGGAGAAGAAACAACGACGGCCCGAAAGCTTGCACGAGTCCCTCCATAATCCGTTTGCGGTCTCGTTGGACGAACTCGTTGGCTCGTTCAGTAATTCCAAGGAATCAGGCACGGCTGCTTTGCCGACTCCTCAAGAAGGAGGAGCAGGCCCGGCCCATCAGCCATCCTGGGATCCCAAACCGTCGGCTCGTGGACTCCCAACCCATCGAGCGAATCATAAGAGTCCAGAGTCTAGACGCTCAGTCTCGCTCTTCTTCCATCAAGACCATCTCCATAATCATCCCGCTCATCATCATCATCCTCATTCTGACCATTCTAATAAGAAGCTCCACCAGAACTTCAAAGACTTCGAAAAGGAAATCAAGCACGACTCCAAGCTCATCGTCGATGAACTCGTCGTCGGTTGGACGTCTAGGTTCGGGATCAAGGACGAACGGGCTCCGTTGGTCGATAAATCTTGATCTCTCTCTTTTCCTTTCTCTTCTCCCCCCTCTCTCTCTAAAGATCTGTGTGTGTTTGTCGAGCTCGCTTGTGTATGTGTTTTTTTTTTTTTTTTGCTGCAACTGTTCATCTGGCCTTCAATATGCACACACCTTCTTCCTCTTTATCCGTTTTTTTTTGTATTTGTCTCAGCTCTCGCTCCATCTTTTTTCTTTTCTTTTCTTCCTGCTGTTTCATCGCCCCCTCCCCCCTTTTCCCGCTGTGAACCTCTTTCCCCCATTTCATATGTCCATTCCAGCACCCTTTTTTCCCCATCACGAATGCTTTTCGTATCTTCTTTCCACACAAGTACTCGTGAACACGTCAAATAAAACTCTGCTTATAGCGGCGTGGCTTCATCATCATCCGTTCCCTTTTTTTCCCCTGGCCCTCTCTTTCTTTCCGGGGCCGTTCATGGGGTTATGCATACCTGTTTTTTTGTTTATTGTAGATCCGGCTAGTTGTCTGTTTGTGTCCTTCTTCTTTGTTGCCATCATCATCATCATCATCATTCCCCTTTCTTTAATCCCATTTCCTCTTTTTTTTTTTTGGTTGATTGTCTCTCTTTTTTTTTCGGCTTTGAAATTAAACAAACAAGAAACGTGGTGATGCTCAACGGCATGAGCGGGTTACTCATCTGTGTCCAATGTCTCCTCTTTTCCAATACACACACACATATATATATGGTGTTGCAAGCGGGTCTGGGCACAGGCCCCAGTCCCGCGTGTCCTTGCGCCACCGGGGCCTGCGCCAGCGCCCAGGGGGCTTGATTTGGCAGGTCGCGCGGGGGTCGGACCTTGGCACTGGCCCAAGCCTGGCTTGGCTGAACCCAAGCTCTGGGCTCACCAGATCACCGACATCGACTACCACCACCACTTTACCTTGGTAAGTTTTCATGTTCATTTTTCATTCTTTTTCTTTCACTAATTTTTTTTTATCTTACAGATGTCTGAATCTGTGGTGATGGACCCGACCAACTTGGAAATCCAAGCAAATAAGGAGCGAACACGGGCGCTTGTTGAGGAGCTCCGAGACCTGAACAAAAAAACCGCCCAACAGGAAGCGATTAAGAAAGCAAAATCAAATATCGATGAAAATAGGACCTACAAGAACGACCGACTCACTCACAAGGAGCGTAAGCCAAATGCGATCATCAAGCCAGAGGTCCGCAATCTCATCCGCGAGAACGTCAACGGAAAGGGCATGAAGATCGGCGACGCCATGAAGTCGTTCAACGTCTCCCGACGCCAAATCCAACGGATCAAGGGAGAGGACCCCAACTTGATCAGAACGCATAAAAAGAGGCCGGGGAAATTCACTGACGACATGAAGACCGAGCTGCTCATGCAACTCGACCAGAAATTGACGACGACCCTTGCGGAGATGGCCGCCTTCATCAAGGACCGATTCGATGTGAAGGTCTCGACTCAGGCGATTAGTAACCTCATCCATGATATGGACATATCATGGAAGCAGGTTACTAATATACCTGCTGCGTGGAATAAGCCCGATCTTATCGAGCAGCGAGCGAACTTCGTCAATCGACGTGGCTTGGACCTCGGACGACGGGTGGTCTTTGTTGATGAGGCTGGTTTTGACTTACATTCCAGTCGAGCATTTGGATACGCTCCCTCCGGTATGATTTCTTTTGTTTTTCTTTCACTTTTTTGCCTTTTCTGATTTCTATTGTTTCTTTTCATCTTGATCACTGCAGGTCAGCCTGCTGTGCTTAGCCTTGTTCCCAAGGCTAAGCAAATCACGTTGATTGGGGCACTCTCGGTGGAGGGCTTCAACTACTACGAGCTCCTCAACACCGATAACACCAAGGCTAAAGGGGTAGGGGCAGATGAATTCTGCCTCTTCCTTGGCAGCCTTGGTGCTCGCCTCCCGAACGAAGCGATCATCATCATGGACAACGCTCCAATCCATCAAGGAGATCGCTTCGAGGAGGTCATCAAATCACTCAACGCCTCCAAATTGATCAAGGTGGAATTTTTACCACCCTACTCGCCATTTCTCAATCCGATTGAATACAGCTTCCATTCGATCAAATCGTATGTTCGATCGAAGGAGCCACCCAACCGAATGGCGTTAGTCGACGAGATTAAAAAAGGGATTCAAGAATCAATCACCCCGGAGAAATCTCAACATTTTTTTGCCCATTGTCAGCGACTCTACCGCCCCTGCGCTGACTTTCAACAAATTACTGGGCCGGTTTTATCTTCTTCAGCATAGACTTTTTTTTAAATTTTCTTTTTCATTTTATTTACAAAAAAAAACCATGTAACTTAACAAGATGTAATTACAAAAAGTACCCAAGAAATCATCAATCTTAATCATATTGTATCTGTCGTGCTTAGGATCATATGAAGTGATGGGACATCGGTCCGCTGGATCCTTCAGATTTTCCTTCTCTCTCTTTTCTACCCACACCCAAAATCGAATGAATTTCAAACTTATCAGATCAGAAATGAAAACGTACACTACATTAGGTGATTACCAAAAAAGCACAACTGCTTAAAACAAGCAAGTCGTCCGTTTGTTTGACTTGAAATACCTACAGAAGTGGTCATTTGAGGCTTGATGAGATGGTGGTGATCCGTGAGGTCAGGTTTGGTGCGGGTGGCACCCTCGCTTGGGCTGGGCCAAGCTTGGCTTGGGTCCAATCCCCTCCAAATTGGAGAGGTGCCCAGCGAGGGTTGAATCCAGGCCAAGTTGGGTTTAGAGGGCGCCACGCGCGCTTGGGGATCGGCCAAGCCCGCTTGGCCCCTTTTTTGCCCAACTTGGGCCTGTGCCCAGACCCGCTTGCAACACCATATGCATTCCCTCTCAATCAACCAGCCTAATAATTTGTCCGGCTCTGTTTTGCACATCTTGGAACAGCTGATCATCAAAAAACAATCTCAGGCTCGTCTTCCGGGCTGGGCTCAACAGTCAAAAAAAAAGATACCAGACAATAGTGCAGGATCTGCAGATACTTTTGTATTGTATCTTGGTTCTGATACTTCATAAAAGTTGCATGTATTGCATGTTGTATCTAAAATCAGATACAATACTATTGGATCGTGTCAAAAAACCTCTGCACATTTCATGGCCAATTTGCACTGTTTTTTTAAAAAAAAAATATTTCCAAAGATACAGGATCCTTTTTTTTGTATTGGGCTGTATTTCTGACCAGATACAAGAACTTTGATACATTTGTAGAATGTCTGTTTTTTTTTTTCTTTTTGATGAGATACAAATAAAATGTATCCAGAGGAAAACAGATACAAATACATGTATTGTATTGGGTTCACTGTTTCTGGGCTGGGATGGTTATGTTGGATTGACTGCTTGCTGTGGGAGGCCTAGCAGTCTGGTTTCCATTAAGAGCCTTTTGTTTTTTCCCACAGATCTGGGAATGCTTGGATCATCCTCTTTTTTTCTTTTATATCTATAACACACATCAGCACCATCATTTGATAAGATTTTGTTGTTGTTGTTGTTGTTAGACTGTTTCTCATATAGCAGCACCCCCCCCCCCCCTGGAGAACATCACATTGTGCACACATGCAGAAAAATTAAGCAAATCAATTTGTTTGTGTTTGGTTCAAAAAATTTACTGATGAACAAAAAATAGCATAAAGCTTTTTTTTGGAAATATTCTTTTTTTTTAATGGGAGTTATAATCAAGAAACATTTGAGAAAAAAAAAGTCAGAAAAAAGTTGGTATGTAGACACTGCTGAAATACCAAGAATCAATGGTAGTGTCAACTCTGGTCTCTTATGCTGACTTAACTAAGCCTCCCAGGACTGGGGGTGCAGAGCACCCCGATGCAAAGCATCTCCCATTCCCAATGGGAGGCTTATGAGTTATTGTGGCTTTCCTTCTTGAGAGCTTCCAAAAATGTGTGGCTTTTGGACAAAAATTTCAAATCAATTTGCATTATGAGATGCATACTCATCATGACACAACGAGGAGAAGGGCAGTTTGTAGCTGAGCATCTCATGTTGAATGTAGTATCACTTGCTCCCTACCTACACTTGTAGGAGGGTGCTGCCCTAGCCCAGAAGCTGAGGTTGAAAGAAGATGGAATTCTGTATTGCAATTGAGTTTGCTCGGAATTTTTGGGAATTCACACACATCACTCTGGTTGAACACACAAAAAAGGAAAACTTCAAAGGGGGAAGGGAGGAGTGCGTGAAGGAGGAAAAATAGGTGATTGACACCAAAAAAAAGAGAAAATTAAGGCCTTGAGTTTGATACCACAGGCGTCAAGAATTTGTGGGGAGAAAGCAACAGACAAGTGAGGGGAATTTTTCTCCCACCAAAAATGCAAAAGCTCCCAGGCCAAAAAACAGATATCACCTGCAAGTCCCTCCTTCGGAGGTTGCGTTTCGCGCGAGGGCGCTTCACACCAGCCCTGTACCAGGGCCCTCTGAAGCGAGGGACTTGTGTTAAGTCAGCTCTTATGTGACCTAGAGTTGATGGGGTTTTCGGGTTGCACTATAACCACAGAGGTGGTCAGTGGAAATAAAACCTCGCCTCAACACTTATAAAGTGGAGTAGAGCTGGTCGCTATGCATCCGGATATCCGGCTGCTTTTTCAGGCCAAATGGCCATCCGCATCCGCATCCGCACCCGCTAGCGGGTATCCGTCGGCCGCAGCGGGTATCCGAGCGGGTATCCACAGATACCCGCCCTTTAAAGGGCCGGCGAGGCGGCTGGAAGGATTTGACGAGGTACATGTACCTCGTCGACCGGAAGGATTCCCTTCCAGTCGACTGGCAAGGTACATGTGCCCCGCCGGCTGGAAGGGTTTACTTCCAGTCGACGAGGTACATGTACCTTGTCGACCGGAAGGATTTCCTTCCAGTCGACCGGCGAGGTACATGTACCCCGCCAGCTGGAAGGATTTCCTTCCAGCTGTCGTGGTACATGTACCTTGCCGGCTGGAAGGAAACCCTTCCAGCCAGCCATCTGCCCTTCCGGCCTCGGGTA